ATTATGTATCACCCGGAAAAATAGTAGTTGAAAATCATTTCATAGTGGCGGTGTCATATAAATAGAATGAATTCCGGAGAAAAATTTTTTTACAGCGATTTTCACTAAAAATTATTCGTCGCTTTTACATTTTATTTTGCGCGTACTGCATTTTTTTTTTTTATGCCGTGGGCAGTAAATTAAAAATTGTGTTTTTAAATAAATGTAAGTTTTTTTTTTCTTCCACTGGAATCCTATATTCCGTTAATTACAGTTGACGTATATTTTGTAATGTTACGGTATTAGTAATTAATTATTTATTTTCAATCCTTTGCCCATTATTTGCGTCGTGTGCGCGAGGTAGTACACTTTCTCACAGAGTTCATTTATTTGGGGAGTTGTTACCTCAATATTGTATGATCTGATTCACCCAATAATATATGAAATGTACACAGCTCAGGCTGTTCCCTGATGTGTTTTTTATTAAAAGTATTTATACAGTGATATATTGTGTTCTAATGCATGACATTATATTAGGGAATTCATCGTAATTTATGAGACCTAAGAATAGGTTAGGTGATATAGCGTTAATTATAAGTATAGTACGGCTGCGGGAATATATTATCAACTGCCAAAATATTGAAACAGAGAAGTAATATTATGTATATGGATGAAGCAAATCTTGTATGCATCACCTTTGGCAAAATTCGTCTTTTATTTATAAGATTTGTATTAGATAGGCACCTTTATATGCACGTTTCTATTTTATATTATATAGTACATAAATGGATGTATTATTAAGGGTCATAAAACAGAATTACTATATGCCTTCCTCTCATCATATATGAACTGAGACAAAGAAAAACTGAATAACACAAAGGACTAAGAATATCCTCGAACAGATCCTTGAAAAATCTAATATATTGCTACACATTACTTAAATTCTGAATTATTTGCTTTTTTGTAACTCTCCTTTGAAGTACTTTCTTCTTATGTTTTCCGTTGTAACGGTCCTAAGTATATATTGTCAAATCTTTGTGGCACTGCCTGCAGCACTGACCACATAATGGACGACGTAACTATTTAGGAAAAATATCGATTTTTATAATTATATGCATACATACCTTTGCATATGTGGATGGAAAGAATTCTTTATGTAATATTTATTGTTATGATGGCACTCTTTCCTTATGGTAATTACGGTTTCTGCGATATTTTTGTATTACGTAATTTAGATTTTAAATGTCTTTGTTGGATAGGAGAGTAATGAAAGATTGCAATTTTATAATGCGTTCCCAAGGTCCTCACATTTATTTGACACCTATAGAATTTGTGGACATCTATGAAAAAACACTAGGAATAACAGATATACATGTAGGTATAACGACGTTTTCTATTTTTCATATCGTTAATTATAGTAAATTAGGAAGGAACATACAGCATTCTTCCTTTGGAAGCTCTAAGGGAATTCACATTATCGCTGTGAAATGATGGTGCATGAATTTCTAAACATCTAAGAAAAATGGTAGCGAATGGAATACACGTAATTATCATATCTCTATACATTGCTATCATCGATCGATAACAGCGTATGTGTTTTTCAGCTTTTTACACCTTAGCATAGAACATATATATACTCAAGCATATACATACATATATGTATCTTTCCTCCCTTTTATATGTGGAATTAGTTCATGAGTCATAGAGATAGAAAGTGTTAACCTCGTGAATTATGATGCCCCTCAAGCGTCAATCAAAGGGGAACTATCGAAGGACACAACCAGAAGGAAGAAGGATGATACGGATGGTACACATTTTTACGCAAAAACAGAACATAGTTACTAGTAGATGCAGATTCAGATGAGAGCATTGTTGATTTGGCAAAAAAATGTGCCCCCCAAAATTACCTCATTGTGCATGACGTGTTTTATCTATACATATATAGAGGGAGTAATATATTGTTGAATTTGAACTGGTATAATATGACTTCTAATTTAATACTAAATTTTAATTGTATATTGCATCCAAATCAGAGGGCACTTATAGCGTTTAAATGTGTCCACGCCTCTCTGTGAAAAGTGCTATGAGTGCAATAAAGCAGAAATATGCAAATGCTATGGGGTACTATTTACCTTTTATAATAAAGGCAGAACACAATACAGAGGCAACGGATGACGAAACCATTGATATCAAGGAACTATTAGGTCAAAGACAACGAATGATGAACAGGATTATAGAGGCAACGGCTGCGTTAATAAAGGCAAGGACCAAGACAGCAACCCGCTAAATACGTATTTCAGAAACAGCGTATGCCGCACAGGGAAGCAAAGGCTATAGAAAAAACAGCATCCAAAACGGGATGACAAGCAATCCAGTAACCTAAACAGGCAAGAGAAGATTCTTCTTACAGAAAACACCAACAAACCAGAGAAGCCTGGAACAGTAATCGGCAGGTACTATCCCACTGGAGTGATAATATAATGTATTCCCCAACCCGAGTAAAATTCCTAATGGACAGGCTGCCTCAGACGAGAACAAACCACTATAAGATAAAAGGGGAAGATTAGATTCACCTTGGTTGATAGGCCCCCCACGGACTCATATAACAAAAGGAGGTGCGAAGCCCTTATAAGTCGGCAGCCAATAGAAGAGTCCTTAACGAAGAAGAGGCGTAAAGGGAGCGAAGAAAGTGAGTAGTCCCTGAATAATACAAATCCCAGAGGATTAGGGCGGGGCATAGTTAAAGCTCCCTCAAAAGTAAAGGATACATGAATCCCGCCCTTCCCCTTCCAGAAACACAAGTTCAGTAATCGGAGAAGCAGATGACAACTCCATATTAAAAATACACCGTGCCTACTGTCTGAAGTTGCGAAGAGAAAGAAAGGATCTAACAGTAGAGACGAGGCAGTAGAAACTGCTACACAAGAGAATACCGCCTGTCAGGGCAGGCAATGATAGTAGTACCAGAGAAGATGATTCAGATTCCTGAGGGTAAGATTCTACTCCGTAATAAAAACAGGGAAAATACCTTAAAAAAGTAGGAGGTGGGAATATTCCGTGCCCCTAATTAGAGAAGATGCCGAGAGTACTAATCCTAGTTATGAATAAGGAAGAGATCCCAGTAATCCCCTAAGGAATGAACAAGTAACCACAGGAATCCCAGCATCTCACCGAGAGGCAATCGACGGAAGCCTGGGAGTATGAGATAATGATAACTCCTGAGGGCAAAGAGGAGAAGAATAAAAAAAATCAGAAGAGTAAGACGGAAACACCAAAAATGAGTAAGGGAGATAAAGGTGTCAACATCGGAAGATGACATATGATCAAGTTATTCTAATTTGAAATCGCGCCAGGTCGAGTAAGTTAATTCCGCGACCCAGAAATCAAAATAAAATGCCCTGACTCCTCAGACAATGTTCCAGGAAAACTAGGAATGAAACTATAGGAGGGCGGAGGCTACAGAATATTGAGTCACCATCTTTGAAGTGATAAAGAAACAGAGAAAGAATTATAATATTAGAGGATAAACAGCATTACGAGAAAAAATAAAGACAACTAATCCCAAATATGCCTGACACCTGTAATAGGTAACCCTCAAACCAGGACTCGGGGGCTAAATTTCTCTTCTACCCCAGGCAACGCGGAACAAATACAACTCCTACCGCAGCATGTCTACGGGGGCTTACCGGCAGAGGGCTTAACTAACCACCGGCAACACCAAAGATGGGAAATATCTCGGCCCATCCCCCAAAGGACATGAGACAAATTATTGCTGAGCTCAGGAGAATATCAGGGGTGACACAGAAGATATCAAGCTGACTAGAGCATGTGCAGGTACCACAGGAGGACTAGAGAGTGAGCCAGAATAAGGGCATCAAAAAAGAAAAGCCAAGGAGCATCCATTTTTCTTTCCCCCAAAAGATAAAAGGAATCAGACAAGAAACTAAAGAAGGAGAGGATCCATTGAAGTAACAGCGGAAGTGAGGGTCAACTACAACCGTAAGATATTACCCGAGGACTTAGTCCTTAGACATCTCCCAGAAACCCCCCTAGTCCGCGCCCTTCCCTCCAAATACCATAGGGGGACCTAGATTTAAAGGAGGTTAATAAACAGATTAAGAGGAAGTATCAAGAATGATAAGGTGTGGAACATGAAAGGAAGGAAAACAGACATGGAGGCTTTAAACAAAGCAATACAGAAAGAATCATGATCCAGACCAACTACAACGCATAGGAGGGGACAGTATCTCCTGAATAGCCTTGAGAGCATCTCTCCCCTAGGGATGTGTCGTGTAATCTAGAGAAGCATCCAATTTGGACCTAAATAGCCCTTAAATTGATTAGGAAGTTTCCCCTCAACATATCGAACTGAGACCTTCGCACCTCCTTTCTTAGATTCCAAAAATTTACTATAAAACAAGCCAAGCCAAGGAGGAGACATTCTCAGTCACGCAGAAGCCTGAAGGGTTCCCTAATAATATTATAACTAAAGGAACAGCAAAGAAGCGAAATTTGGCTATCTCAGGACACTGGAACCCCCCAATAAGTTTCTGCGACAGACAAAAGTAAGTTTTAATGATATATTTACAAAACAACCCGACTCCGGAATTCGACCGCGAAGAAAATAACGTGTAGATCAGAGCCCATCTCAAATAGCAAAGGTGCCTAAGGAGGTGTTCCCTCAGTAAGCGACTGGACCAATCTAATTCCTTTTCATGATTATCCATATAACATCTGAAGTCTCAGAATTAGCCAAAGTAATATGTCCCGAAGAACGAGTTGATTCAAAATACACCAGGGGGCTCCAAGAAGATCTATGTGCCCAAATAGAATTCTGACTCCCTGAGGCAATGGAAATAAAGAAAAACTTCTCGAAAAATCCAGGCCCCGAGGGGGAGAGAAATAAGAGCTTAAGGGAAGAGGAGAATGCTAATATAGCAGAGGAACTCTTTCTTGTCAACTAACCCGGAGAACAGGAAGTTCTGACATCCCTGTCAAGGAGTTCTTATGAGAGAAGTAGACTAAGTTCCTTCTCCATCCACCAAGAAGCTCGTAGGAAAGCAGCAGCTCCTCAGGGCGCCATAGTTCATCTGGAATATATAAAGAAAAGAGGAGAATCAAGGAAAAAAGAATAAGAGAGCGTGTCAGGGATCAGGACAAATCGTCCAAGAAACTCTTTAGGAGTCGTCAGAGATGATGATGTTTTCAACAGTACCAATAAATGAGATGAAGTTCGAAGAGTGAGATGAATTAATAAATGAACACCCAGGAAGGAGCAATTAGAATCCTCATCCCCAGGAAACGGGGTCAAGGAAAGCAGTGAGAAAAAAGAGAAGGAGACTAAAAAGCAAGAAAAGAGGACTAGCAAGTTAGTATCTGAGTCGAGTAAGCTAAGAGCAAAGCGGTGATAGGATTTACGGCCCAAACAGGAAGAATTCTCCTCAGGAGAAACCGGAGTCTCGACTAAGTAGGAGCTGTAAGTGGCCGTAGGACCTTCGAGTAAATTCGTCAACAAATTCCTACGACGCCTAAGTATCTAACAACAGTAAGTAACTGAAGAAACATAGGAGAGGACCTATTAGTCGCAAACCTGTGGGAACATAACGCCGAAGGCGACTCATCTACAGGACGTTACATGTATAAGAATAGAGTTAGCTTACAGAAAAAGCCTTTAGTCAGTAGAGGGAGTGGTAGACCAGAGAAGAGTAGTTCAGTGAAGTAAGTGAGGCAATTCAGGAAAAGTCAGAGCAATTAACGTCCGCGCAGAATATAGTGAGCAGGGTTTTGTTTCCTCTGAAAGGGGAGTCTGAGAATAAGTTATAGAAATCACCCAAAGGATAGGTTTCTATTGTTTAGACATAAGAATGGGGCCTATCTCTAAGTATTCTTCACACAAATTAATAGACATCCTCGTATCAGACCACACACCCGCTGATGTCGTTAAAGGCAGCTGAAGGCATATGACCTCTCAAAAGTTTACGAGTAAGGGAATCTTACCGCACTGAGATTAACTTCTCAATATACAGGGAGTAGCTGAAGGAAATTATAACCATCCAGGAAGGAAGAGTAAATGGGGAAAGAGTCAAACCGCCAACCAAAAAGCAGGAGTCACCAACAGGCAGACACAAGTTGAGCAGCGACTCAGCAGAATTGGCCCAACTTTATTCTAATTTGTGCGAATGATCTGGACCAAGATACCAGCTGCATAGGATTCGATAACTAACAAAGAAGCACAGAGTTAAAAAACCAACATTAAAGCAGGGGCAATTGTCATAGTTAGTGAATCGGGAAGAGGAGATGATAAGGGAGGATAACCCCGAGAAACAGGAAAAGGGAAATTGAAATAAGACTACCCGTCCAAAGAAACAGTTACCAACTCAGGAATGCAATGGATCAATCTAAGAGCGCCATGAATGCAGAACACCCCAAGACAGGGCAACAACTCCCCACAAGTAACACCCCAGACCCGTTTTAGCTAAAGGAGCACGTCAAGACAGAAATAAGAAGAAGGCTTCAACCCAAGATCCTCTCCGAAAGGATTTCTTTAACCCGATAATAAACGACAGGGATAGCGCATCCGAGCAGATAAATCTCCCTGTATTGTCCTCTTTCCAGAGAATTCGGCAGGAGGTTTGAGTAAACGTTTCTTTCTGACAGAAACATTAAGACCAATGAAAGAAGCATAATAATAATCTTAACCCGCAATTAAGCAGACGTCATCCCCGAGAATGTCAGTCTCAGGGGCAGCAGTAGAATGGAAATTAACTTCTTGGAGCGAGGACAGCAACAGGAAATGGGGATATCCAGCCCCCAAAGCCACAGGTGGGCAATGTTCATCGAGCAAAAAATATTGCTATCCAAGACTTACTGCTTCAGGAAGTTCAAGGTGGGGGCAACTGGATCAGTGGGTCACCAACAAGTTATTGAAAAGTTCCCTTTATAAATGGGACCGGGACGGGTTCAATGAGGACGCAACAACGGGTCTCCAGACTCATAAAGAATCTGAGAAACTAACTTGGGGGGATTTCATACACAAGGTTTTAGAAAAACTGAGTGCCGTACTCGTCTCAAGCCAGGCGGAAGCGCACAAAACCCTAATCTGGACAAGGGAGGAATGGCAGAGCTTTGAGGGACGGCAGCAAGCATCAATGGCCCCCCTGGATGAGGTTGAGTCAGGTAGGAGAATATTATTCGTGATAATGTGTATAATAACAGGATTGATAGAAGGGAGAGCGGGAAAGGACAAAATTTTTCAACGAAGGGGACGGATGTGTAGTACAGTCGATATGGCTTTAGAATTCCCAAGGAGCAGCTGGGAGATGTGGATAAACCCCACAAGTGATAGAAGAAAGAATAGACAGACCGCGTGTTCAAGGACGGGTGGATATGACGGTTGTCAAGAGGCGTCAATAGCATTAATCTTGAGTATTTACTTTTCACTGAAGCAACTGTGCGAAGAGTGTGGGCCTTATAGATTGACTTATTGGATAAAGTCAGATTTAGATAGTGAAGGACCCGGAGGGGGACAATATTGTTATTTTAAGGACGAACAAGAGATTTGTAGTGAGGGTTCATCCAAAGGAGACAGGGCACAAGTTTTAATAACAAGGGAAGGGACATTAGACGTCCTAGATAGACCAGAAGTCGTGGAAGCTGCCAAGCGCTTAGCAGATGAAAATGAGGCCAGGGGGAAGGAGAGGGAGGTCGTAGTTCTGTTAGGGCCCACGTCAGAAGAGTGCGTTGATGGTGACCGAGAAGAAAGAGCAAGTCAGTCCGATCAAGAAGATATGACCCAGCAATTGTCGACCAACCTTCCGCAAGATTCGGATGAGGGGGGGGCTCAAAAGAATTCCATCTTACCGAGCGACTCCGGAACACATATTCTCGCTTCCGAGCGCCCACGTAAGGAACATGAGGAAAAGTTGAAGGGTTTAGTTTCGGGGGGCAGGCTATTGAACGATTCGTTTACACAGGTTTCGGGGACGACTGGGAAGGAGGTGGAGACTCCAAAAGGTCCCAGCTCAGTGGATTCAACAGAGAAAGGAGCAAAATCGGAAACGACCGAAGACTTCATTTCCAGATTATTGAGCCATTGGCCGTTAATAGGAGGGGTAGTGGTTGTAATCTGTCTGATAGTGAGTAGCTGTTATGGTTTATGGAGAATCTTTAAGGGTAGGAGGAGGCCAAAGAGAAGAGTCAAACCTTCAAGAGACAGGATGAAATATGAGGTGGGTTATAGATAAGGGGGCTATTAGAGATAACTAACCCAGAAAGGTTACGGCGGCGGACAAGTGTTTAGGTTCAAGGTTTAGGGTTCAGGGCTGAGAAATGACCCATACTATTATGGACTCCGTCCCAAAAACATTCGTAACACCGCTTAAAACGTTCAACCAACACCTATGTGTGCCCCTGGGGGAACTAAGGACTTATGTCCTGTATATGATTACCCTACTTCCATATGTTAGTCATGCCCCAAAGAATATGTTATGTCTTCAAGTGGTTCCAGATAAAGTCTACATTGTGTTAATATGTGTACCTTCTTCCGTTTTATTAGTCTTGTTGTGTGTTAATTATTAGTGAAGTAGCCACTGTCTGGTTGTTAGAGGACTTAGATTGTCCCAAGTCAGATAGTGGATTGACACCTTCTAACCCCATAATTATATGTGAGGAAGGGTCTTTGTCTAATATGGATTGATCCTAGAGTGAGTCTATCGAATAAGTCTTCTTTGACGTCGTCTGTGTTGGGATGTCCCTTCCTTATAAGGAGTGGTACCAACAGAGTGATCCATAAACAACCCGGAGGAGTCCGATTTCGGACTTAGGGGAGTTGTTGTTTTATCTATTTGTTTTGCTTTGTCCTATCGGAAAGAAGGGGACACACTGTGATTTAAAATATTTCGATATAATTCAGCGGTTACCATAATATATATATATATGCTGGTAGGATGAAACAGGGATGCTGACAAAATCGGTGGTATCCTTTCTGATGGGTTATATAATGATCACTACTTAGGGAAAGACAGGCCTGTCCCTAAAATACCCTATTTCTAAATGTTCCTTTTCCGTGTCAAATTTGATGAATCCCGTTTCGCAAAGATATAAGCAGAAAGTTCCTCCTTTTTCCATCCTACTAGGAAGGCCCTCAATTCTATCAGTAAAACATACATTAATTGTTCTCTCATTGGAGAAATAGATATGGTAAAAGAATGGCATAACTTCTATTTACCTTCATAAATGTATGATAGGCGGTTTCGTAATTACAACTTTACGGCAGACTGATCTGATATGTAAGGAGTCCACATCCTGCACTTCGAGAATGCTATGGTACTTATATGTGCTTGCTCTGTTTCTTTTTCTACTGTCAACTCATGATTTTCTCTCTAAGGATATTTTATCAATGTGTGATTCGTACTGCGATGTCTTGAGTTGGTTGTGTCCTGTTTCGTGCAGAACCCTCCGGGTGGAGTTAAGCATTTTCTATAAATTCCACGTCTCCGTGTGTCCGATAGAAGAGTGTTGCCCAATTTTGTAGGTGCAGGGGAATATAGAATGCGATATGCCATGCTTATCAGTAAATAAAACAGATGGAGAATAATGTTTCTCGACTTCTTCCGTATGTGTCTAGGCTGTTATGTATAACGAATATTTAACAGGACAAAGAAATGGACTATTCTCAGGAGCATTTTGGCAGGATTATTACATATAAAAAATTCAACATTCTCCATTTAGGCCTCTCCTCTACATTGGATGTTGCGGAAAATTTGTCTACCCCTACATTCGAGATGAATGGGGCATATAATGGTAGATGAAATATTTCGCGGCCTTCAGATAGGTTCCACAGATGATGAGTAGCAATTGTTTAGTTGCTTCTCACATGGGTTCCGCATTGCAATTTTGCCC